CGGCGGCGCGTACGTTTAAAGTAAATCGCACGGGGAGATTTCGAAATTGTCTTCAGTTCAGTCCTCGAGATCTGAGAAAGGTGAAATTTTAATTCTGACGTTGCTCTTTTACATATATGTTGGATTTTCGCTAAAGAGGGAAGTTTCAGGGAAACGGGAGGGTTTCTGAAATATCAAGAGGGCGAAATGAGATTGGCCACGTTTGCTCTCCCTGCGAAGATTAGACAATGCTTTTACAGCGGAGAATTTCTAACGAACACAACCGCGCGGCGCGCGACGTCGGGAACGTTCCGCGTGCGCGCGCGGAAACAAATTGCGGAAACGAGTGCGTTATATTGAGATAATAAAATTACGTTTAATCAGTCGGAGGGGTTTCGCGGAGAAATTTAGGGTAGCGCCGCCTGGTCGAGGGGATGCTTTTCGCACTTTCGCATTAACTCGCGCGTGCAGCCCGAGCTCGGCTGTTGGCACAGAAAGTTTCCGCATCGCCCGCGAGTCGGGGAAAATGTTATCTCGTCGATGTTGCATTAACGCGAGTTAAGCTTAAGCCATTCGAATCCTCCGTGGATCACGCAAGTTTACCACTTACCCGAATGCCTTCGCAGCGCGCATCGGGACTGATGTCGAATTATCGCGCGCGATATCGCGAGCGCCGTTTATATCGCAGATGAAAGAAAGATGAGTAACAAGAGTGCACAATTTCTGCGCTCCAAAGCATCGTCGAACCTCCAAGAGGGGACAGACGAAAGCGACACATATTTCGACGACCTGCTCAACCGTCCACCCCAAAAAAGTAATTTCAGGACGAGCGGAATCGTCTGAATTTTAGAGGATTTTATTCTTATATATGGCCTCAAGAGGAAATATGGCCTCTAAAATTAAGAGGAAAATGTTATAAACATATTTTTCGTAAAGTCGGAGGGATTATATATGTTATATGTGTAATGCAAATCTTATTGATCTTAATATAAATTTCCTCTTATACGCAGATTATTTAATCTTTTTTCAAGAGAATTATTATTTATTCCTACTGGTTATACTAGTTAATTTGAGAAAATTATTTATAAACGAACGGTTCACTTTAATCGTTTTATTAGAAAGAGGAATCCTTTCTCTGTCAAAGGCTTCGCTCAGAATGTAAGACTATCGGAAAAATCACTTTGCAAATAGAATACTTTCCTTCTATCATCCGTCCGTCTCTGTTTAGTAAGAACCCGACGCGGCAGAATCGGCAATTGGCATCGACGTGACATTATTCGCGTGTCAATTACACACATCCGTGTCGTTGGATAATTAACGATCGATTGCGCTCGCGAAATACCCGCCGATACTTTCAGCCGCGTCAGGCCGCGATCATTGGCTGATTTTACCGATAAGATTACGCGCGGCGGAGCAGCAGGCGGACGAATAATTCCGCACGTGCGCTAAGCGCAAATTTGGACGAGGGAATTCGGATGAGCGGCGGGACGATATCGCCGATTATCGGCACAATCGGGACGGGCGGAGGGAGAGAGAGAGAGAGAGAGAGAGAGAGAGAGAGAGAGAGAGTTCGACGGTCGTCCGCGGCGGAAATATTACCTCGTCAATGCCGCTTTAAGACGCGATAAGTTTAAGTTGGGCTTCCAGTTCGAGTCCCTCCGGCAGCTTGTTAAAGCTTACCTGTGCGAGCGCGCAACTTCGCCGATGTGCAGATTTAGCATTCTCCAACTTCGCAACGGGCTACTGGCTCGAAAGCACGCCCGCGCAGGAGAGACGTTCGGCGGAGGGGAGGTCAGCCGGACGAATTCCGCACGCCGCGCACGTATCGCGTCGCGAAAGTCGCGTGTGCCGCCGCGGCGGAAAAAGCTGAAGAAGCCGCGCGGCGTCTCTCCGGCTCGACATCGCGCGAATAACTGATCAGTCGTGTATCGACTCGTTACCGCGCCGTTAATTGCAGAAACTCGTCGCGAAATCATGGTTATGAATCGACGTGACATAATATTAGGATCGGACAGTCGGAAAGTTGCGTCCGGTTTTGGCTTTTTGCAGAACGTATGGCTTTATTTAAGAAACAACGTGAAGAAGTACATCGGTCGAAATATTGTTCACCGTTAGCGACGACCATTTTCCATCTTTCGGTCAGCAAGCGAATTCCGCGGCGAAAGAATGACTCATCTTTGGAGGCTGTCCAGTCAGAGACCCATTTCTCGACGTCTTCATCAGAATTGAAGCATCCGTCAGCAAGTGCGTGTGCCATCGACCGGAACGGGTGGTAGTCGGAAGGGGGAAGTCAGTCCGGTGAATAAGCCGCATGGGGTAACACTTCCCAGCGAAGTGCTTCTAACGTGCTTCCTTGACAGATTTTGTGACGTGAGGCCGAGCGTAGTCATGCGTAGCAAAAGCACTTTATGCTGTCTCGTCTCATATTCTAGTCGTTTTTCGTGCAATGCTCGGCTCAAACTCGGATCATTTGTTCTCTGTAGAGATCCCCTGTGACTGTTTGACCACTTTTCAACAGCTCATGGTACAGCACACCCTTCTGATCCTACCAAATAGACAGCATTGCCTTCTTTCCGTGGATATTCCGCTTTGGCGTCGATGTTGAGAGTTGGCAGAGGGATCGCAGATAGTTTCTCGACATTTGGGGTTGTCAAAATAAATCCATTTTTCATCCTCAGGAATGATACGATGTAGAAACCTCTTTCCTTGTTGACTAGCAAGCAGGTATTTCGCAGGTGGTTGTTTCGTCTTTCAATGTCTCTTGGCTTCAGTTCATACGGGACCCATTTTCCTTCCTTGTAAACCTTTCTCTGAAGGCTTTCAAACGATCGGAAATCACAGATTGAGCACAATTTAATGCCTCTGCAAGTTGCTTTTGCGTTTTGCGAGACACGGGTCTTCGCGTCCACCAATGCCTGCAATTCTTCGTCTTCGAATACTCTTGGCCGTCCAGAACGCTCTTTGTCCTCTACATCAAAATCACCACTTTTAAAGCGTCGAAACCGTTCTCTGTTTTATCGGAAGGAGCATTATCACCATAAACTTCTACAAGCCTTCGATGAGCTTCAGCTGCAGTTTTCTTCCAATTGAAGCAAAAGATTATCACTGTGGCGCAAATGAGACGCTTATTTGGCTCAAATTTCGACATTTTCGATGCAGTAAAAAACGAACAATGTTATTGATGCAAACGTATGCCTTTATGTACTGAATTATTATTGACAGATGTCAAAACAAACCATTAAGCTTCGTTTAGACATTAAGGTTAATGACAGTTCTACTAGCTATAGCTACTCGCCTCTAGATGGACGGAACTTTCCGATTTACCTAGTAACAATTAAATATTAGGTGTGTGAATTAATTCGGTCCGTTTTTTGTTTTTTTCCAAAAAAAGACTTTAGTATGGAAAAACATGAAAGGTACACCGATCAAGGTATTTGCCATCGCTTGCTATTATTTTTTCCCATCCGTCTGGCAGTTGTTGCATTCCGTGACGGAAAAACGACTCGTCCTTCGAAGCGATCCATTCACTGAGCATTTCTCTATTTCTTCATGATTGTTGAAGTGCTGGTCCGAAAGCCATCCGTATGCCATCGATCTGAACGAGTGATAATCGGATGGAGCAATGTCTGGTGAATACGGCGGGTGGGGTGAAACGTCCCAGCCAAGTGCTTTCAAGGTGACCTTCACAATCTGTCCAACATGTGGCCGAGCGTTATCGTGCTGGAATCTATCACTTTGTCGTGTCTCTTTGCATATTCCGGCCGCTTATTCTTCAATGCGTTGTTTAAACGGATCAATTGTCGTCGGTAAAGTTCGGCAGTGATGGTTTGGCTCTGTTTTAATAGTTCATGATACACTACACCCTTCTGGTCCCACGATATATACTGAGCATTACTTTCTTGCCGTGAATATTCCGCTTTGGTATCGATGTGGATGGTTTTCTTGGGTCGCTAATGGATTTCCTTCGTTTGGGATTATCGAGATATATCCACTTTTCATCTACAATCACGATACGATGCAAGAAACCTTTTCTTTTTTGCCTGGCGAGCAAGATTTCAGACATGGCTTTTCGCCTCTCGATGTCTCTTTCTTTCAGTTCTTTCGTACGGCACCCATCTTCCTTCTTTGTAAATCTTTCCCATGGCCGCCTGACGCACAGAAATTGTTGATCGATCAACATTCAACAATTGCGCGAGTTCATGTTGCGATTGACACGGATCTTCATCGATTAGCGTCTGCAATTCCTCGTCCTCGAACTTCTTCGGCTGACCTGGACGAGGCTTGTCATCGACACTGAAATCATCACGTTTGAAACGTCAAAACCATTCTCTGCATGATTCGTCGGTGGGAGCACTTTCACCATAAGCTTCTACGAGCATTCGATGAGCTCCCAGCGGCTGTTTTCTTCAAATGAACACAGAAAATGAGAACTTCCCGGAAATTATGCTTTTTCGGCTCGAATGTCGCATCAGATAAACACGACGTTATTGTTACAAACCCAAAAACCTTTATCGACTGAATAATATCGCCAGCTATCAAAACTAAAAAATAACCTGCCTCTGCCTCTCGCAGACATTAGAGGTTAGAAAATTGCACGGTGCAGCAACTGACCGCCAGATGGACCGAATTAATTCACACACCTAATAATACAGTACGGCGAAATTATCACATCACGGACGTTGTTCCAATCGTTCGCGAAGACGCGAAGAGGCCAAGTCCCCGGGGAGGGACGACTCGCGAGATCACCTCGTTAGACTTCTCCTCGAACCAACTCGGCCGAGCCTCCGGCGAAATGTTCGCGAGCATTTTGAGCGACGCGACAGCGCCGGGTAGCGAGTGGCCCGAAACGTCAGCCGAGATACTCCGGGCCTCCGAGCCTCTCGCGGAATTGCATTACTCGTACGTTAGGCATTATTATTACCGAGTTGATTGCGGGAAAGTGCGCGGGCGTCGTCTCTCGCGCCCGTGTTATCGCGTTACCGCCTCTAGTCTCAAGCGCGCGCGCCCGTATACTGTTTCAGGCTTTGGTGTACCGGGACGGCAACCTCGTCTCGGGCTCGCTCGAGGCGTTGGTGCAGCACATGGTGCCCACGGAGGAATATTATCCTGATCGGGCGTACCTCTTCGCCTTTTTGCTGAGCGCCAGGCTCTTCATCAAGCCGCACGAGCTTCTGGGCGAGGTTTGCGCTCTCTGCGAGCATCAGCAGAATCTCAATGGCGAGGGCGGTAAGGTGAGCAGCATGTGTGTGTGTTTGTGTGTACTCGCGATCCACGAGCGGGCAACCTCGGTCGCGTGTATTATCGTTCCATCGCGGGCTCATCCAGCCCCGTGCGCGCCTCCCCCTATCGCGGGGGCGGGGGGAGGAGAGCGCGGAAAGAAGCCCGGCGCTCCTTATCTGCGGCACTTGAAACGGACCGTTTCCTCGAGCCCTGCGAGAGCGGGCCTCTCTCTCTCTCTCTCTCGCCGTACAGAGTCATTTGCATCCTCGCGTTATATACTCGATCGCGCTTTCTCTTCGCCCCGGTACTCCCCGAAGCTTGCCGGCTTCGGGGCAGCGGCCATCGTCGGCATACGATACGCGGGCACGCTGAAAGCCCGGAGAAGCCGCCGTTCGTACGTCATTCGCGCGCGAGATATTGATCCAGGGTCCGGCCGCCCCCGTGGCCCTTTCGACCCCCCCCCCCGCCCCTCCACTTTTGGCGGGAAAAGCTCGAGTGTACGCGTGTTAAAGAATATTAGCGCGGAATCGCGAACTCGCCGCGACTTATCGCGGCCGCGTAGGGTGAGGCGATAACTCGAGCGTCACTCCTCCGTCGATGAAAAGCGATGAAAAGGGACCGGTCGCGAGGAGGCCGAGAGAGGAGCGTTATCGCTCGCGTAACGTGTAATTTCTGTCGAGTAGATTTCTCCCCTCTCTCATATTCCGAATATATTCGAGACCGTAATGGTTATTGCCTCACCCCGTATAACCCGAACCCTGCAACTGGGCCGGAAGGGTTAATAACACGTATTCGCTGGATCCAGCTTATCCGCGCCGCCACGGCTCTCGCTTAATATCCACGAATTACTTATTCAGCCGTAACGTATCACCGGTGAGATTTTGACGACGTGCTTTTAACCCCGCTATGGCGGCGGATTAAGGAAAAGAAAAAAGCCATCGCGTGTGTGTGTGTGTGTGTGTGTGTTGCAGGAGCGGCTGCACCGCTTCGTGCCGCGGCTGGTGCAGCTGCTGGCGGAGTGGACGGAAACATTCCCGTACGACTTCCGGGACGAGAGGGTGATGGGTCACGTCAGGTCCATCACGCAGAAAGTCGCTGCGGTCGACGCCGCGGCCAGGCAGGAAGTTTCGGCGCTGCTGCAAAACTTGCTGCTACGACTGACGGCCCTGGAAAGGTACGAGGAGGGCTTGGCCAGGCTGGCGACCGAGGCAGCGACGGAGCAGCTAACACAGGTTCGTGAGTTCCGCTACAAGCGCCCATTTGCGGCCGTCAGTTTGCATTTCGCTGTCCCGCCTCGGCTTAGTTGCTGGCTTAGTAGCGCGACGTTTTCCGAACACTGCAAACACCGCCGCGCGATCTGGCCGCGCGCAGAGTCCGCGCCTGCTGATTGGATATCCGTTAATTTCGCAGCTCGAAAGCGAGAGGGCCGACGTCGCGTCGGCCCGCGGTAATATAATGGCTCGCGCCGATCGAAACGAGCCGCGAGCCGGGGTGTTGGCCTTCTGCCCTTGCGGAAAATTCCATCTCCTGCGGACCGAGCGACCGACGGGCCTACTCCTGGAGGCGCTGACGACCGGAATCGTCGATTCGCGAGTCCTTAACTCTTTAACGCCTACTGGTAACTATAGTTACCAGAAACGCATTTAAGAAACCATAACTTGGTCGAAAAAGGAGATGTATAACGTTTCCTTTGCGCCTGCACTGTAAAGGTGAAGTCTTCTTCTTGGAAAACATGGTATATAGATTGTATGTAGATTCGGTTTAGTCTGTTTTCAGCGCAGTTTTAATGATTTGACATGTTTTGTCAAATTCCACGTAGGCATAGTTAGCGTTGTTTCTGACATCTAGAAGTGCGCTATAAATGAATAGATTGGTATCTGGTTATATATAATTTTATACATTTGGAAGCTTTCTCAGATGCAAAATGTGAGATTAAAAGAATACAGAAATTCTAAATGGCGAATTCAATACGGTGGACACGAAAATCAAGAAATCAAGCTATTTTCGTGAAACCTGCAGTGACCTATAGCGCTTTTTATGCGGCGAGAAATGAAGGGACGTTTGACTATGTAAATGGTATGATCTGTAAGATATTCTTCTGAAATGATAAGCTTGACGCTCTGAATAATAAACTTCACTCATAAATATAGTAAAGTTTCAGCTGAAAAATGTCAAGCTGACTGTCAGAGTTATGTCGTATAGATTATCCTTCATTTTTCTCTGTATAGGTTGCTCATTTCGTATATGCTTTTAGGATTCAAGTGATATTTACCAATAAACCAAAAACGAATGATAAGAAAACCAATATAAAATTCTGATGTTTTTTTTGGTGTTACTACTACTTATAGTCTCAGTTCAAAAAAACTCAAATTTTATTCTTAAAACACTTATGAAAAAATCGGGCGTTAAAGGGTTAAGAGGGGAATTGCGGAATTTTTTTTAACAGAAACGGTAAGATCAATGGACTTGAAATTTTCACATTGTATTCAATATGTTCAAAATATAAAATAAATTTTATTGAATCACAAGAACCGATCCAATTTGTAATTATTGATAAAAATGCAGTCATCCGTTTGCGAGCTCTATACTTGCTGTCGACGTATAATTCCGGGCGCCTCACTAGTCTGAAACCAAAAAATGAGCAAGATTTTTTAAATATACGGTTGCCATTATTACCAAATATACGGTAACCAGTGCCAAAATGAAGGCACTGAAGCCAAGTTTGGAAAAATAATGAATGTACAAGAAAAAGTATCGAAAATGAAACTTTTTTTTTCAACTTGTAATCATGATTAAAAAAAAAATGAGTAAAATAAAATATAATTGTGTTCGAGGTAGGGACGCGCGAAAGCTACATGTTTACGGTATATTGTGCAAAAATTTCAAATTATTCGGTTCAGTTAGTCTTTGCGTAATTGTATCAGTGACAGTTTAGGAAAATGGTGTTTCCAGATAAACGCGTTTAATGTTAGCTTTTGTGTGTGTACTCTCCATACAGATAGTAACAAATTTATTTTGTACTTGGAACATTAATGAATACACCGTGAAAATTTCAAGTCCATTGATCCTACGTCCGTTTCTGTTAAAAAGATTCGCAAAAATAGCGGTCTTCCGGCATGTGATACCCCCTTTAAGACGGAACTTGGCACGTCTCGCGGAAATTCGGCGTCTTCGTGAGACACCTTGCGCGACTCTGGCTGATAGCTTCATATTTGATCTTTCCAATATTTCAATTTTATCGTCTCGGCGATCTTCGCGATCGACCTTCGTACATGCAAAAAAAATACAAGACTACCTATAGGGAGCGGCCCTCCAGATTGTGACGATTAAAAAATGTCACAGTGCATTCGTTAGCTTTATGCTTCACAATCGAAGCCGCTTGCTTCTTCGACTGCGCAATTTTAACACACTCGCGTCTCGAAAAACACAAAGCACAACGCGAGGCCGCTGTTACAACACGCGCGTGAACGGAGCATTTTCCCTTTCTCTCCGCCTTCCTCGTTTGTATGCTTCTCCCGTTTCCCGCCGAGAGAGCTCGAGAGCTTTCCGATCGGACTCTTTATTCGGCCGTTGCGCACGAACGAGGAGGAACGTAGACACGGGAAGCGTTATCGAATTTGCAAGCCGACGAATGTAATTTCCGCGGGCGAACATTCACGGCGGTTGATTAAACAAAGCGGAGTCGTCGTCGGTCGAAATAAACGCATCGCCGGCAATGGAGGATCGCGTGATTCTCTCTACGCTGACGACACGATGCGATGCTAACACGCGCCAATTTACGTGATTTCCCAGCGAGTCAGGGGGCCGGGATACCAGCTCGCTCACGTCGCGCCCTTCGATCAATCGTCGTTCCCACGCAAGAAATTGCCGGCTGCCGCGATTCCGCGCGCCGCGCCGCGCCGACTCCCGTAATTCTCAGGCTGATTTCACGCGTTAACGGAGAGAAAGAACGGCACGGGCGCACCCGGCCGCATTGTTCCGCAGTTTCAATATGGATTTACACTCGCGCATAATCCGGCTTGCCGGCCGCGCCGCCGTGTTGCGAAGCACGATTACTCGGTTTACCGTAATTTCACATTGACCTTTCGAGGACTTTCAGCGGATAATCAAGCGGATAATATTCTCCCTTCGGGTCGAACATGCCCATCCCCTCCCGTCCCTCCCTCTGGTCCTTCTACTCTTATATTCATTCTACTCCCGCCCTCTCCCCCCTTTCTCTCAGTTCCGTTGGTTCTGCGATTACCGTAAAACGAGTCCTTTACACGTGCACGGCGTTACCGTACTTCGTCCCGTTTATGCGCGTGCGCGCGCGCATCGGATCGGAACGCACAAACTTGGACGTTTACGCTTGTGCGTGTACGCGCGTGCACTTTGCGCGGTTAGTCTAACGGGGTTAGCGCAGTAGTTTCCATCCGGGGGGACGTTAACTATTCCGTTAATTTGATTATCGCGCGCGCGCGCGCGCCTATCTGCCAGCGCTCGTAACACACTCGCTAATAGGTAATTTGCAGCTGCATTAGTTAGTTAAATATACTGGGCCGTGTGCGGCTAATCAGTACGAAATTGTGTAGGTGCTCGTGCAGGTGGCCCCCTCCCCCCTCTCGCACCCTTATCACCACGACGCCAACGGTCTACGCATGCCGCGCGTTCTCGATTCGCGCGGACGTGCGATAAACTGCGATCGAGGCGACCGCGCTGGTAAAGGTAAACGCGCGCTGTGAAAACGCGACGACAACTGTAAGCGTCAATTTTCCGCACGCACGCGCACGTACGCGCGGGTGTGCTCGTAAAAAATAACGCGCCGTCCCGGCGCACAGTGGGGCCAGATGACATTTTTTGGTTTGAAAATTCTTCAGAGACCTGGATTTCCGAGCGATCATCGATACACCAATGGATGAGGTTGATGCTGAATAAATTCCGAGGAGACCTGTCTTGCCAAAATAAAAAGAAATTTTTTTTCTCGAATTGCTAGCCCCAAAAGAGGAAGAGTTATCGTTAAACGCGAGGAACTTGTGAAATACTCATTGTCCGACAGTTATTTCTATCTAATAGCGTATTCAGCGGATTGAAACTATGAAACCAATCAACAGAGACCTCGAGATTTATCGATCTTGAAGCAGAAACCCATTAACCCAAAACTCTCATATACCTAAAATACAAAAACATCAAATATCAAGACCCGTTAAGCACAAAACCGAGGGATTTTTATCCTTAATTCTTTCTTAATGCGGGCTGAAATGATGAAATTCTTTGAAATTCTGAGTTTTCTAATAAGTGATTATAAGTTCTGAGGTCTCGCGTTTAGGCATCCATAGGCTCGAACCCATTGAGGTCGAACCCAAGACACTGTACTTTAAACGATAAACTTTTAAGGCAAACCCTAAATCCATGAATCCTGAACCGATAATTTTTTCAAAATTTCGGCTAGACAGATCTCTTTGGAATTTATTCAGGATCAACCGCATCCACCCGACTAGAAATTTTGATCAGGTTCACCTAACATTAACATAAGGACCTAATAGGGTGAATGAAAGGTAATCCTAAGTAAGTCAGTCCTTATAATGTCCTAACGACAAATAAGTAAGGAAGACCTTTATAACCTTTATAAGGTTATAACGATTGGGTCCACATCAGGACCACATAATGTACCAACCTAGTGTATGATACAATATGGTTCAGTTAATCAGATCCTTGTCGGGATCTTATTCATATGTACCTAATATGATTCGCATTATCAAGTTTTAACGAAACAATTTTTGGGTGCCATTTCCAAATATAAAGATGTTTGCATTGAAAAAACACTTCCGATCACTTGAATATATTTGTAAAATGCTATAGAAACCATCCTTTTTCTAGCAGTCAATAAATAGTTGTAAAATTAACGTGACATGCAACTCATCTCTTTAACACTACTTTATGTCTTGTCACCTTGTGATATTCATTTTATGTTTCTTTTCCGAAACATTTTACAAGTATGCTCAAGCGATCTAAAATATTATTTCATGCAAATATCTTTTTATTTGGAAATGACATGAAAGAATTTCCAGCGTGTCACTTCTTATCTCTAATATCATCATCCAATATAATAGCCGTGGCGAGTAATCAGGAGCCATAATTTGAAAAAAAAAGGAACGTAATAAGGATTCCACAAGGTAACTCAATAAGGACCTGACTATGAATCCTTACTAAGGTCCTGATATCCACGCTGCGTTACATGACTTATTAGGACCCG